TAACGATCTTTTTATTTTAATGGTTGTCTACTTCATGGGGAGGTATTAAAATTAAATAATAAATTTAAGTAAAAAATGGTATAAGGATTTTATTTCATTTTATTTTCTTATTATAGACAGCGAAAAAAAATCTCTCTAAAATGCGTCAACTAATAGAATTCGTAAATAAAAATGTGCCTGCTTTTTGTAGAATGGAGAATGCCAAATTTTTCGCCGTCTTCGTTGCGTGCTCTGAGAGGGCCTGAAAAAGTACAGTTAATTATCTGATCTGCATCATCTTCAACATCTGATGCAACACCTAATAATGTAAAACATCAAATAATAAAATTGGTTGTTGTATCATTCCATTTGTAACTTTTCGACGTACTTATATTAGATCCAATAAATACTATACTCTGTATTTTGACGACTTCCACTCGCAGTACTTCATGTGATTTTCGCAAAATTCTCCTACAAAGAATCATTTTAGAAGCATGACGTCTACGATTATGATATCCTTCATCGGATTTCACTATAAGTAATCAAATAAAAAAGATCTTCAAAGAAACTTGTATCAAAGTTGCCTAAAATTTTGAAAATATTTCGCACTTTTATTAATAAAATTTTACCGACTTTTTTGATTTGCTTCATGAAAGAAACATAACATTTACTTTTAGGCAGAAAATGTTTTTTTTTTCTATTCCAAAATCATAGTAAGCTATTTACATAGGCTTAAAAGTGATATAGTTAATTACAATTCAAAATTCATTGCAAAGGAAAATTATGTGTTTGCGTTTTTTGTTTTTCTTTTTTTAGTAAAAATCTTCCTTAATACTTTTGTCTTTGTTGGGAAAAGTATCAATAAAAGAAATATTTCAGATCAATTTTCCATTTTTAATTTACACAAAGTCAGCACTTTATCTGAATTTGCTGCAAACATTCAACCCCCACTAGGCTGTAGAAAACTCCAAGGGAATTTTATGGTACCGGGTTTTTGGATCAAAACCCCAAAAAGGTTTCGGGTACTTGGGCAAACTTTTATTTCACCGTCTGCGCAAACCAAATCTTCGCTTAATCTGATACTTTGGAGCAACTCTAGTTTAGTAAAAACCCTTCGATTTTTTCCAGAGGTAAGTATTTTTACCCTGATTCCGGGAAACTATTTTTTCTTGGGGGACGGACCTGGGACAACGATTTTTAACCCGAAATTACAAGTTTATTTTGCTTCAATATGTTTGCCGGTCATATGTCAACTAAATTCTACTCTATCTATTTTCTAATCCCTTCTTAAGGGCTACAAAAAAGGGGGAACAAAACAAAATCTGAAACTTCAAAACAAACGACGACTAATCGTGAAATATGAAATTCGCACAAAACAAAATGTAAACAAAACAAAGGGCCACAGTTATAAATATGTATGTTACTATACATACATACAAAACTGACAAACAACAGTGTTGTTGTTGTTACCCACAACACAAAACCAACGAAGAAGACGAATAACAGACAAATGCCTAAACGACTGTTGGCATTGTTGTTATTGTCTCTCGTTGAGACGCATATAACACAAAACGAAACAACGATAACAATACACACATTAGGTTGTGACGAATAAATTTAGGAAATATGGAACATTAGTGTGGGTCGACAAAAATAAGAATATATAAAATTAATATTAAATTAAACAATACAATGAAATGAACGACCCAACACAAGTAGTAATTAACGAAGTAATTAAAATTAACAAATCGACGAAAAGCACTCAAAATACATGAATTTATTCTCCTCCAACATCCTCCGCCCGTTGAAGCGTCAAGGTTCAAACATCTTGGTGTGGTAAAGGAGCCATTTTACGGATTGGCCGACAACTGGATCCATTCTTCGTTTGTAATTCCGCAACTCGTACTTTGCCATCACGACCTGGAATACATTTGGTAATTCGCGCTAAGAGCCACTGTTGAGAGGGTGTGTTGTCTTCATGGACGACGACGAGTTGGCCTTCAACGATATTTCTCGATTCGGTTAACCACTTGGAGCGTTGTTGGAGCGACAATAGGTAATCTCTGGACCTCATATTCCAAAACTGTAGTTTTAAGTATGAGATTTTTTGCCATCGTGTAAGTAAAGATGGTTTTGTGACTTCTAAATTTGGTTCTGGTATTGCCACCATCGAGGAACCAATTAAGAGGTGGCCAGGGGTTAAGGCTTCTCCATCATTAGGATCATCGGACATGGGAGCTATTGGACGAGAAATCAGTATAGCTTCGATTTCAACAACGAGTGTTTGCAACTCTTCAAATGTGAGATACGCCTCAGAAATATTTTTAATGAACAACGTTTTTGTCGGTTTAACGGCAGCCTCTTACAATCCGCCGAAGTGTAGGGCACGAGGGGGTATGAAATTGAATTGAAGACCCATTTGGCAGCAAACAGACTTCATCTTCTGGACAACTTCATCTTTGTAAAACGATTCTTTGATTTCTCTGAGCTGATTATGGGCTCCAACGAAATTGGTAGCGTTGTCGCAAAAGAGCTTTGGGGGAATACAGAGAGACACATTATGAAGTTGTTTGTTGACAAATCCGAAACAAGTTCCAAATGTGTTGCTTTAGAACTGAAGCAAACAAAATCAGCGATTTATGTTTTGACTTTCCACGAATTCGATACGATGTCATGAATGGACCACAAAAATCAACTCCAGTGACTAGGAATGGACGTTGAGCTCGAAAACGATCAATAGGCAAATTACCCATAATTTGCCCCAACAATTTTGGCTTGTAGTGAAAGCAGTGGACGCAATTTCGAACTACTTTCCGAACAACTTCTCTGGCGTTTACGATCCATATCTTCTGGCGCAATATGGCCAACAGCACTTTAGGCCCAGCATGTAGATATGTGCGATGCAAGTGTTCAACATATATATTAACGAAACGATGGTTTTTGGGCAACAAGGCAGGAAAACGAGCATCAAAAAGAATGGAGGCATTCGCTAATCACTCGCCAACTCGTGAGATGTTGATTTCTATAGTGCCAATGTTCAATTTTTGGAAAAATGATGTCAGCTTTTGCAGAGATGGTTGTACAACGTTGCCAATTGAGAGTGTCTGAATGTCAGAGGCATAGCAAGACTGCTGGATGAGAGACACAATCTTCCAAATACATCTTATAGTTCTGATGGAGCTACATGGATGACATCTATGGGCTTCAAAGAACTATCTATCTTTTGGAAATACGAAAAATAAAAGCGACAGCAGAAGCCCAAGCAAATCGTAGATCTTTGATACGAGTGACAAAATTGATCTTTTAGTAGTATTTGTGATATCGGGCAACTCGAAGCGATAGAGGAAGGCATCTTGCTGAGGTTTCCACGACATACCCATGGTTTTGGTGATGTTTTTATGACGATTTCTGTATCATCATTCGATGTGAGCGACGTATGGTTGCTATTCCACTTGGCCAATTCGATACCATGGAATTCGAGAATCTAAATTAACTCGAACCTCTTAAGGGCTAGAGTTTCGATATTATCGACGCCAGTAAGTACGTCATCGACGTAAAGATCTTGTCGTAAGACCTCTGAACCACAAGGATGTTATGTTTTGTATATATCTGCAATGAGAAACAAACTCCGAATTGCCAAAAAGGGGGCGGCCGATAAGCCATAAGTAACAGTGCTCGATTGGAATACCTAATTTTTATTATTCCTCCATAATATGAGTTTATAACTTTCATCAAGTCGACCAAATGTCAGCAGTGAGAGAGTATTTGTGCAAACGAAACGAGACAAGTGTGGTGATCAAATCATGTTGTATTGTTGGACCGAACATCAATATATCATTCAATGAATGATTCGAAGAGCTACGAGCTGATGCATCAAATACTACTCGAAGTTTAGTGGTAAGACTGTGAGGTTTGAGGACACAATGATGTGGTATTATGTAATTCGAACGATCGAACGATCGAACGATTTAGTATAGGGCGACATATGTCCGAGCGACACATACTCATGCATGAATTCTTAATACATCGATTTTAAAGTTGAGTCACGTTTAAGTCGTCTTTCGAGCGACAAAAAACGTCTACGAGCCATTTCGAATGAACTACCAAGGCATTCAGGGGATTTCTTGAATGGGAGACGAACCACTACTCTTCCATCCGAATTAAAAAGACTATGAGCAACAAAACGATCTTCGCAAGCTTGTTCTTCTTCAGTATAAGTTGTAAGAGACGTGGAATCGTTTCAAAAAATCATCAATATTTTGTTTTTGTGTATTTACTGTTAAGTTACACGTCATCAACGAAGAATTGGGACAACTGGGCGACGAACCACCAACTATCCAACCAAAGACTGTATTTGTAAGACAGAGAAGACCGTCTCCAAGTGAGATTCTATCATCCAAGAACAAATCGGGAGGAGCACGTCGATTCATTGTGGCTTATAGAACAGTGGATCAGCCAATTCAATATTTTGCGGGATATTCCAATGCGAAGAATTGATCAAATCTCCGGGTTGACGAAACGATATTGTTTTAGAAACTGCAAAACTTGAGGACGAGTTACTTCTAGATTTTATTGTGGCTTCAATGGAAAACTTAATTGCAGTTCTCGAAATTTCTTGCGAGAATGGATGAAATATGAGCTTGGTTGTTTTTTCTGAGTAAAATTTAGTTCAGTACAAGAATCTAACAGATCTCTTACCGTCGATATGTACCACAATTGCCCTTCATGAGAATCACAGCTGTTGGAATTATTGCTCTTTTAAACGAACGAGCCGCGAATTACACTGGATTGGAGCTTGTAGATGGTTGAGGCGAGCTACTATGACGATGATGTGTTTTGTTGTTCTGGGATACTATATATATATGTAGAATTGTATGATGCGCAGAGTTACAAACTCTGCACCGAGACTTACACCATATGATCTTTTCGAAGGCAGTTGATGCAATGTCCACTACGTTTTACGAAATTAGAACGTTCCGAAACGACTATATTTGCAAGCAAGTTGGGAGATTATGTTTACTTTAGTTACAATATGAACACTTCGAATTTGATTTGACAAACGTTTGAGCCGACCGATTGAATCTAGGATTTGGTTTGGGTTTATGTGGAACAACTTTTTCTGAGACTTCAGTTCTTTTTCGATGACTTTCGAGAAACTGGCGACGACGACTTAAAAGTTCGTAGCACATATCCCATGAGGGCAACGATTTTAAATCTTGTTTCTCATCATAGTTCTCTTTTGTGTCACTATCCACTTTCAATAACACCATATGCAATAAAATTGCATTTATAACATCTGTTTCGGAGCCGAGCGACAATAATGAGCCACGCACTGCAGAAACAGTATCAATGAGATGACGCAACGAAACACTATCACCTTTTTGCATTCTTGCCACATTGAACAATGAATCGATATGTTCTAAGAAAATTAGCACTTTGTTATCGTTGCGATCTTGCAGTCTAGTTAATGCCTTTTCATAGTTTTCTTCACATACTTGAAATGGTTCGACTACGTCTAACGCAGGACCCGAGAGACAGTTCAGTAAGTAGTTGAATTTTTCGATCAAACTTATTGTTGGGTTATAATTCACTATGTTGTTAAATGCAGATATGAAATTTTGAAATTCACTGTATTTTCCATCGAATTTGGGCAACTTCAACGAGGGCAACCGAGAACTAGAACCACTAGTCATAGAAGCATTCATGAAACTAGGTTCCATAGATATCGAGCCACGATTTTTCTTTAACAATTTAACGATTTTCGATTTTGCCACTATAAATGCTTCTTCTAGTTCCATTCGAGAATTGTCACTTGAATTAATTGATTAAATTTTCGTTTGTATATCGCACAACTGTTTGAAATAACCTTGTAATATTTCGAGCCGACATTCTAAAATGGTTGAATCCATTTTCGAGCCTTCTTTTTATACCCTCCACCATACTATGGAGGGTATATTAACTTTGTCATTCCGTTTGTAACTCCTTGAAATACTCATATCAGACCTAACAAAGTATATATATTCTTGATCAGCGTAAAATTCTAAGTCGATTTAGCGATGTCCGTCTGTCTGTCTGTCTGTCTGTCCGTCTGTCTGTCTGTCTGTCTGTCCGTCTGTTGTAATCACGCTATCTTTCGAATGAATTGAGATAGGTGGCTAAAATTTTGCACACATGTTTATTTTTCCAGTAGGCAGGTTAAGTTCGTAAATGGGCCATGTAGGTCCACGTTTTCATATAGCCCCCATATAACGGTACCTCCCTATATTCGGTATTTTGATGATTTTAGCAACATTATACACGGGAATTGTTTCAACTTTGGTATTAGAAGTTCAAAATGGATACTACACCCTAAGACGGAAAATTATCCGTGTAGGCCCACGTCTTCGTATAGCCCCCATATAACGGTACCTCCCGATATTCGGTATTTTGATGAATTTAGCGACATTATTTGCCAGAATTGTTTCAAATTTGGTATTTGAAGTTCAAAATGGATACTACACCTTAAGACAGAAAATTGTCTGTGCAGGTCCACGTATTCATATAGCCCCCATATAACGGTACCTCCCTATATTCGGTATTTTGATGATTTTAGCGACACTATTCACCGGAATTGTTTTAAAATTGGAATTTGAAGTTCGTTATGGGAACTACAGTCTGTGACAGAAAATTGTCTGTGCGGGTCCAGGTCTTCGTATAGCCCCCATATAACGGTACCTCCCTATATTCGGTATTTTGATGATTTTAGCTACATTATTCACCGTTTATTTCAAGTTTCGAATTTGAATATGGTAATGGCTTATGACAAACAATGCCTATGTATGTCCACGTTGTATAGACCCCGAACTTACTGCTTTTTAACTTGTTACACTTTCTTTTGTATGTTAGAAATGTTTTTCTTCATCGAACTATTTATTTTTTAATAAGCGCGCCAAATCTTTATGAAACCACAAATTTAACTCAATATAGTTGATATTTTGTATTTTCTAATACCAATTAGAATATACTTGTATGTGTATATTGGTGAGTATTTTCTAATATTTCCACGAACTACGATATTTTTGTTTGTGAATGTGTTCCGAATCGCGATTGCGTAACACCAATTCTATCTAGGACAAAAAAAAAAAAACACTTTCTGTATTAAAGAATAATATTTATTCTTTTCGAACAACAGTTTATTTTATTATCAACGGCGGCAGCAATTAAAATTAACTGACGAAAAGTTTTAAATAAAGTCGAAGAAGTTTGTATTATTTGTGTTGCAACACCGAATGTGTATAGCAACAACACGAATGACAACGAAAAATATGCACGTGAAATGCTAATGTTTACTTTATATTAAAGATTAATTAATTTTTTTAATAATTAATTTATGTTGCAAATATCGTCAGGCTTAATACCATTATTGTTGTTTTTATAAATTAACATTTGTTTATTAGTGGTGAACGAAGGTAATGTTTACCAAGGGGTAAGGCAGGGAATACCTAGGTTTCGGAAAGAGCCACCAATCCTCATCAGTTCCTTTGTTTTTTGGCTGGGAAAATCTCCCAAGAAGTTATTTTAAAATAACTCCTATGACAAAAAACTTTTTTACTCAAGTGACGAAATCGTAAGCTCAATAGAAGAGGTACCAAAGAATTATATAAAACTAAAACTCTTTTGGAAAATCTTCTAAATCTTACAACCGCACTTATAAACATTTACATCTTCCTCCATTTGTTATGTTTTCGTTTTACCTCAACGAAAAAACTTAACCATGTAAGTTGGTTTTGTCTGTTACAACAGAAACCCTTTCGTCGACCGTGCCAGTGTCTATCAATAGGACAGCTAATAAATAAATGTTGTTTTATAAAAACAACAATAATGGTTTAAGTTTTGCCTTGTTAAGGTTTAAGCCTGACGATTTTTGCAACAACAAAATACTACAGTATCCCAAACAAACATGCCAACACTGTTCTATTGATAGACAAAGGCACGGTCGACGAAAAAGTTTTTCTTGTAACAGACAAAACCAACTTATATGGTTATGTTTTTATACCCTCCACCATGGGTAGGAGGGTATATTAACTTTGTCATTCCGTTTGTAACACCTCTAAATATTCGTCGTAGACCCCATAAAGTATATATATTCATAATCAGCATAAAATTCTAAGACGATTTAGCGATGTCCGTCTGTCTGTCTGTCTGTCTGTCTGTCTGTTGAAATCACGATAGAGCCCACATTATTTGACGTAGACCTTTGAAATTTGGCACAAGTGTGTGTATTGTCCCTAGGATGGTTGGTATTGAAAATGAGATATATCGGTCCACGTTCTGGTATAGTCCCCATATAACGGTACCTCCCGATATTCAGTATTTTGATGATTTATGCCACATTTTTTCAAGGATTTATCTGAAAATTGGTATTTGTAGGTCATGACGGGTCCCTGAGCGTGTGGCAAAACATTGCATGTATAGGTCCACGTTTTGGTATAGCCCCCATATAACGGTACCTACCGATAATCGGTATTTTGATGATTTATGCCACATTTTTTCACGGATTTGTCTGAAAATTGGTATTTGTAGGTCACAACGGGTCCCTGAGCGTGTGGCAAAACATTGCATGTATAGGTCCACGTTCTGGTATAGTCCCCATATAACGGTACCTCCCGATATTCGGTATTTTGATGATTTATGCCACATTTTTTCACTGATTTGTGTAAAAGTTGGTATTTGTGGGTCATAATGGGTCCTAGTTCGTGTGGCGAAACATTGTAATTATAGGTGCACGTGTTGGTGTAGCCCCTATATAACGGTACCTCCCGATATTCGGCATTTTAATGTTTTTTGCCACATTTCTTCTAATGTTCTTTTACCCTAGGGTGGAGGGTATTAAAAGTTTGGCCCGGCCGAACTTAATGTTTTTTACTTGTTTTCGTTGAGGTAAAAAGAAAACATAACTAGTGGAGAAAGATGTAAATGTTTATAAGTGCGGTTGTAAGATTTAAATGATTTTCCAAAAGAGTTTTAGTTTTATATAGTTCTTTGGTTCCTCTTCTATTGAGCTTACGATCTTACGCTCTCGATTCCCTGCCTTACCCCCTGGTAAGCATTACCATCGTTCTCCACTAATACACAAACGTTGTTTTATAAAAACAACAATAATGGGATTAAGCCAGAGGATTTTTGCAACAACAAAATACTACGGTATCCCAAACAAACATGCCAACACTGTTCTATAATTAATTTTTTTTAATTTTAAAAGCTATCGTCCAGTCAAGTCGCCAAAATGTATGACAGAAAAGTTTCGAATTTAATTACAAGTTTATTTCGCTTCAATATGTTTGCCGGTCATATATCAACTAATCTAATCTTTTTTGTAATCCCTTCTTAAAGCTTACAAAAAGGGGAAAACATCAAAATAAACGACGATCAAATCGTGAAATATGAAATTCGCACAAAACAAAATGTAAACAAAACAAAGGGCCACAATATTAATATGTATGTTACTATACATACATACTAAACTGACAAACAACAGTGTTGTTGTTACCCACAACACAAAACCAACGAATTACGAATTCTATTTGTTGATGCATTTTAGAGAGATTTTTTTCGTTGTCTATCATTAGAAAATAAAATTAAATAAAATCCTATTTCCATTTTTTACTTAAATCTTAAATGAAATAATATTCTAAATATGGTAATTTTAATGCCCTCACCATGAAGTAAATACAACCATTAAAATAAAAAGATCGTAATCTAGAATTTATATTTCATTTAATATATAAAAAATCATATTTTTCGAATTCGTTCGAAAGATTGCGTGATTACAACAGACAGACGGACATCGCCAGATCGTATTAGAATTTTACGCTGATCAAGAATATATATACTTTGTTGGGTTTGACATAAGTATTTCGAGGAGTTACAAACGGAATGACAAAGTTAATATACCCTCCATAGTATGGTGGAGGGTATAAAATATTTCATTTAAGAAATGCATAATTGTCTAACGACAATGTCAAATGAAAAACCAAAATTTATTTTTTTTAAATTATTTTGTAAAGAAAAAACAAGATTGTACAAGGGTAGTATGAACAATAGTATTTATGTATAAAGTATTGTGATCGGCAGCATGAACAATTATACCGCATGTATCGGCAACATCATCGACCAATACAGCAATTTTATCTTTGACATCACCGACAAGCACCATCGAAGCAACTTTATTGGCCTTCTTGCGTTCTTTGTGAATCAGTGCGAATTCAACGTTCAAACGATCAGCAATGGACGTCACACGTTTAGCCCCACCTGCATCAGGTGAGACAATAATGGAATTCTTCCATTCTGTAATGTTTTCTTTGATCCATTTTAGAACGGCTGGTTCAGCATAAAGATTGTCCACAGGAATACCAAAACCTTGAATTTGAGATGCATGCAAGTCCATAGTAATAATGTGATCTGCTCCGGCCACTGATAGAATATTTGCAACCAATTTCGCGGAAATTGGGGCGCGACTCATATCTTTCTTATCTTGGCGAGCATATGGGAAACAAGGAATCACAGCTTGCAAGCATTGTTCATGATTAGCAATTCCATCAAGTTGTCATTAACCTCACCGGAACCAGATTGTACAATGAATAAAATCTTCACCGTGCACAGACTCACCAATTTCAATACATGTTTCCAAGTTGCTGAATTTATTGGTGACCATTTTGCCCAAATCCATACCCAAACGGTCGACAATCCATTGAGCCAGATCTGGATGTGGTGTACCCGAAAACACTTTAATGTTTGGCATTCTTGTTTCTCCAAATTG